CATGAAGAGCCGACTTCAAGTACCAACACATGATAATAGCCTTGGGGCTCGGTTTTACCGGATGCAACGTCAAGCGATACATGAGGAAACAACGTGAGAAGAAAGCAGAGGACGGGTCCACCATGGATGCGTTGGCTGGTCTTGCTCTTACTATCGAGTAGGTGTTTTTTCTAGAATAGTTTTTGAAGTAATGAAGTATTCCCTCCGTCCGAAAATATTTATCATCAAAATGGATAAAAAGAGAAATATCTCGAACTAAAATATATCTAGATACACCCCCTTTTATTCATTTTGATGACAAGTATTTACGGACGGAGGAAGTAGGAGTTTTGGTTTAGCCAGAAACACGTTGGCATTGTTGTATTGCCGCTTTAAGTTTTTTTTAGGGGTCACCACCACACTTTATTTCCAGGCACACTAGCTTTCCATAGTTTTCTGCCAATGTTTTTGTGAAGCTCTTGTATCAGAACAACTCTCCCGATTTTCCAAACAATCATCTCTCCTCCTCTTTGAATCCACAAGCATAAGCATACGATAAGCAGAACGAACTGAAAATACCCCTGTTTTTTGTTACCACCTTTAAGTTTTATTTTAGTGTTGATATTACCGCCTTTAAGTCGACTTAGTGGGGAGCTCCAGTTCGGCGCCTTAAGCGCGCGAACAGGTAGACGGCGCTCACAACCGCCTGCTCCTGGGCCGGCCCATGTAAGGCGAGCGACTGCTTCACCAGTCCACTCCCTGGTCGCTTCGAGCATAGTTTGACAGGTCGCGGTTGATCAGGTCAACTATTGACTTGAAAAAATAAAAAGGAAAAAATTGGCAAAAAAATCAAAATATCCTGAATTAAAAATGTTCAAGGAATTTTAAAAATTCACCTAATTTGAAAAAATCATAGAATTTGAAAAAAGTACATCAAATTTAAAAAAAAATCATTGATTTCTCTTAAATTCGAAAAATATTTCATCAAATTTTAAAAAATCAGAAATTTTGAAATAAAAGTGTATTGAATTTGAAAAAATATCCATAAAAAATCATTAATTTTGGAAAAAATTTATCGATTTTTAGATAAGTTCATCAATTATGAAAATAGTTCACCGAATTTGTAAAAAATCATCGAATTTGAAAAAGAGTTCATCGTATTTGGAAAAAAAATTCATCGGGTTTTTTTAAAAACACCAAAGGATAAAATCCTTGATTTTGAAAAAAAACACAAATTAAAAAACAAAAAAATAATAGAAGACAAAAAAGGAAATAAAAATGAAAAAGAAACCCAAATAAAACCGCACGGGAAAATGACCAGCGAACCGAAAAACAGTGAAGCTTCCCAGAACCAGAGGAGTTCCCACAACTGAAGAGGGAAATAAAGACAAGGAAAGAAGTTGTAAATCACTAGTCATTCTATGGCTTATTGGTTGCGATCGTTGGTGTAGAATGAGCAGATCATGAGTTTGAGCTTTCATGCACGCACCTTTTCTGAGCTAAGCAGAAAAATTAGGTCCATGGGCCGGCCCAGTCGTAGCAGAGGGGAGTGCGCTGCAGGCGCCGGTTTGCAAAAAGAGTAATAACCAGCGCCTGTAGCGCCAAATAGGGATTGCCTACTTAGTGTCAGGGGCGGAGCTACAGTATTATGTCGGGGTCAATTTACCCCAATGACCCTGGCCCAAATCTTTTATTTTGACCCAGGCTAAGAAGGACCCAGCGGCCTCACGTGCCATGGCAGCAGGCAGCCCAAACAGCACGCTCCATGCAAGCCCACTGCCCACCACCGAGAGGACAAAATAAAAAATAATATTTAAAAACAAAATAATAATATAATCTAGTCGCGTGAATGTGTGGGTGACCCAGCTGGTTCTCTAGGTAAATCAAAATATTCTTGTCATCTAGAAACCTCTACCAAGTTAGGATACTATGGATTACACACACTAACATACCTTGTGGTGCATCTATAAATTTCTAATGTGATACTCCGTATTAGTGATCAAAACGCTCAGATATTTCTTTACAGATGGAGTACTTCTGATTATCTTGGATTGTAGGTAACCGTTGCAACAAACAAATATTAGCCATCTCAAACTAATTTTAATAACCTAAAATAACTTTAGCAACATACTAGAACTTTAGTTTAGCACAAGATAATATATTTGTAATAAATGTGTGGAAAATACATGTGTCTTGGTATGCATTAGCATGTTGTGCTTGAAAATAATATAGAAGATAATGTAAAGAAAGTTGCATAATAAAACAATATTCGACATCTAATGACAAGATGAGCTATGGCGAAGCAAAAATGTTTGGTATAAATAGGTGGTACCCATGGCACCCCTCCTTGGATGACAACCTTTCCCGGCACAGCTCTTGCATCTTCACCTCACAGCGTTTTCTTTTATTCATCTCTCATTTTGTCACTTGCTTAGAGTAAATTATATGGAGTGAAAGAAGATGTATTTATAATGGTGTAATCGGAGGTTTCGGCAGATATATGCAAAATTGTTGTAGGGTGGAACCCTATGGGGAGATCTTTCACGAATTGGAGGGGGAATCCCCAAGAACAAGATGAACATAAGAGGGAAAACAAGAGGAACACTCAAGAACAAGTCCAATCACACATCCACTAGACAATCAAACACACAAGATCCACAAGGTACATGAACAATCAAAGTGAAACAAGATACATGGTAGAGTTCATCCCAAATCCTATGAAGGAGATGAGGGCTTGAATCCTAGAAGGATCTTCCCACGAAGGGGGGCTTGAATCCCTCGGGATCTTCTCACATGGAGGTCTTGAACTCCATTGGAGTGGTCTCTCTCTCTTTCTCAACAGGAGGAGGTAGGAGCAAAGCTCACCTAAGAATGAGCTATCACTTTGCTAAGTCTAAATGGAGGAGCAAGGGGAGTGTATATAGGTCCAAGGGATGAAGGGGTAAGTAGGGACGAGATGGGGATACAAGGGCCAAGCCCAACAGCCATGCATAGGTGGCCCCGTGTGCACGGGGTAAGTGGAGCCTGTGCACGGGGTATCCAGAGACTTGACGTATGAGCCCGTGCGCACGGGGTCTGTGAGGCCCGTGGACACGGGGGTCCCGTGGGCACGGGGTCGGAGGGGCCCGTGCGCACGGGGTCGCCTGGGAGCGGCTGCCTTCTTCTTGGCGCTTCCTTCTCCGCTTCCAGGCTTCCCTCTTGGATGGTGTAGATGTTCCCTTCTTCTTGGACTCCTCCTCGATGAATGTGTAGCTCCGCTCACACCTATGTATGCACACGAGGGAGGGGTCAAGTAGTATACCATCCTCGAAAGGTACAAGTGAACACGTGTAAAGGAGATGATTCACATTTGTATGCCTGAAGTAGATGTGGCACGTGTCACTTGCCAAATGGATTCTTGACATGGTGATGACCATAGGATGCTCCGCATCAAAAATTTAATGAACGTAAGGTCTAACCAACCGTGTTTATAAAGTTGACCCAGATCAAACTCGGATTGAGTCAATGAGATACATTTTATTTGATATTTTGCCCTGATCTATGTCGAGTGGTGGTTACACGAGATAGGCATTAAAAGGATCTTCTATCCCACCTATCCACATGGGGTATCAGTGGCCTCGTGATCTCCATGAACAGAGATCACTACACGAATAATTACTTGTGAGAATTTAACTAATTAACTAAGTTTTTTTAATATTTCTAAAATAAAATGTGATGTTTAATTGTATGCATCATTATGTTTATCAATAAAGTGGTGTTGTGATTAAAAATATTTCTGTAATTTCCTGGTAAAATTGACAAAATATTTTTGTAATGTCTCAGAATTCTATATGTTTGGTGAGTGAGTTTCTCCATATAAACATAAAGTTTGTAATAATACATTAATTTTAAGACCCATGAGTAGTTTAGGAGCTTAGCTATGATGTTGTCAGAAGATTATTAGATGTCAGAGTTGTGAATGAGGCAAACAAAAGGATATTATAAAATAGTTATCAATGGTTCTTAATTATATGAAATGCAGTTTTTTTTTTGCAAGGGATATAGAATGCAGTATTGATTGGAGTTCAATACTGACCAATTTACCAATCGATAAAGGAGGCCAACTATGTTCTCAAGAGTCTTCTCTTACTTTTAACATGTTGTGATTGATAAATAATAGTCGATACTACTTTCAGATGCATGGTTACTAATAAAAGATAATGTCAATTCACGAGTTGCATGCCTATATCCAAAACGTTGTGTATTCAAAAACTCATGAAGGTCGGGTGCATTTTCATATCTAGGCAGATAATTTGCATATAAGTTTTGTCCGAAGTCAAAGTATCTCTATTTGACCAAACTTATAGAAAAAAGTATAAATATTCAAAATGCCAAATCAATATTGTTAGATTAATTATGAAATGTAGTTTCATACTATATATGTTTTGTATTGTATATGTTGAAATTTTTTTAATATAAATTTGATCAAACTTTGTAAAGTTTGACTTGACAAAAGTCTAATACGGAGAGTAAAAAGGACTAAGGGAGTATTAAGAAACAAAATTGCTTTAATGCAAATCATCACTAGCATGATGTGCTTGTGCAGCTGCAAACAAACAGAACTAATGGCATGGCCGTTGAGACGTCCCAACAAAACAAAAGCCTCGACAAGGACGAGTAACTCTTGCCCTGCACAAATTTTCTTCTTCTTTTACATCTTACAATGGAACAAACAGCCATGAGCATCTCTATGTACAGGGTTCTGAGCTGTAATTAACAATTGTTGTATCATCCATGCATCAATCCACCCACCAAATTAAACTGCAACACCAAATAACTAACTACTACAAACAAATTAATCAATCTTGCAAGAAAAACGCCTTTCTTAATTTCTCTTCTGACCCAAATCTGTTGTATCATCTGCCATTTCGATGGTAATAATTGGGTTGTGTCCATCTTCGGATGGATGCAGAGACCAAGCAGAGCGTCTCCATTAACTACTAAGAATTTGATAGCACTGTGAACGATCGATGGCATGCGCATCAGTTGGCCGGGCAGCCCATCTCGTCGCGGACCCTGAGGAAGACGATGGCGGCGCCGTAGTGCGCGAGCGCGCCGGCGATGACAAGCAGGTGGAAGATCTGGTGGCTCTGCCCGCACAGATCAAACATCCCGGGCCTCCACCGCTCCGGCACGCGGGTGAGGTAGAAGGCGGTGCCGACGAGGTAGGAGGCGGCCATGGCGCCCTCGTACGCCAGCGTGACGTTCCGGCGCGGCTCGTGCCAGTTCACCGCGGCGGCGTGCACGGCCGGCACGACGCCCGACAGGCCCATCCCGACGAAGAGCAGCGCGCGGTGGGCGCGGTACTTGGCGTCGCTGAGGCGCGGCGACATGAGGGCGTAGACGGTGGCGGCGCCGGCGAGCGAGATGGCGGAGAGGTAGGCGAGCTGCCAGCGCGGCTCGCACTGGAAGATGTAGTAGATGGGCGGGAAGAAGGAGACGACGATCATGACGGCGATGCCGGTGTAGTCGAGGCGGATGAGGAAGAGGTTGAGGCGGTGCGAGTGGCAGGACAGCAGGTGGCACGCGCAGCTGCTCATCAGGCAGAACATGGCCCCCGCCAGGAACACGAAGAAGGGCCACCGCGTCGTCGGCCCCGCCCCCGCCGCCGCCGCCATCGCCAGCCCCGGGCTCGCCTGCATGAACGACGCCGCCCCCTGAAAATGAGAAGCCACCGTCAAACATGTCAGTTAGTAAATCTCAGTTACCATCATCACCATGCATGATTAGAGGATGAAACGGAGGCATCAAATGATTGCCGGACAAAGGTGACGCCGCAGTTTCAACCACCGCTGTGATCATAGCCATGCATGCCATGCATGTGACGATAATGGAGGTTTTTACCATGCATGCGTGTGCAACTGCCCGGCCAGTTGAGTGTACCGGCCGGCAGTGCAAGCAGAGGCAGAATCAGCCGTGAGATTTGTGAGGGAGTGGCATGTGAAAAACGGATGGTGCATCAGTTCACAACAGAAAGGGGAAGTGTCACACGGGATAAACTCCCGGATCACGCAGGCGGCGCCGGGGATAGATAGGACGATTAACTTGATCACATCACTCAACAGAAAGCACATCTGGGTGCTTCCGTGGCTGCTTAATTATCCGATTACGTGTGTGCATCGCTCGATGCAGAGGCCGGAGGACGACAATAAAATGAAGTTTGTCGTGGTTGAAAAGAACATGTGTATATTTTTTGTCATAGCATTGTAAAAGTTGCGGGTTAGGTAGGTAGCAAGGCTGGTCAAGTAAAGGCAACCTGAACCTCATGCCCCACGCAGCATCGAAATTAAGTCCAAATCATCTACCCGTAGATAGCAGACAGCCAAGGCAACAGTGGGTGGTACTAGTACTACTGCTGCTGAGAAGGTGAGCAATTGAATTGAATCTCCAAGACATGTGGATCTGCCTGCCTGTGCCAGACAGCAGGAATTCACATCTGACAGATCATTTCATCCTCACCCCATATTAGTTGAAGGCACTTATGGGTGTAGGACATACATATCAGTTTTTACGACTGCACGGCTCCAGCATACTACTTGTTGCTATTGATGGTTATCACGGAATTGTAACAAGTACTCCCTCTGTAAACAAATATAAGAGTGTTTAGATCACTATTTTAGTGATCTAAACGCTCTTATATTTCTTTACGGAGGGAGTAGTATTTATGAAAGGAAGGTAAATGGCATGGAGGTGCTGGTAGTGCTACTCACGGAGAGGACATCGCCTATGTTGCTGGAGACGTTCTCTGCGACCTTGGAGATGGGCCTGCAGTGAAACGAATTACACAAATTAGCTACTCAATTTCACAATTTCAGTAAAGAAGATAGTAAGAATTCTGATGAAGGTTTAAAAATCTGAATGATTAATTACCAGGAGAGGTGGCCGATGAGGTGGGCGACCTGGGGGAAGTACTGGGCGAGGTGCCAGAGGGTGAGGCCGAGGAAGAGGAAGAAGCCGAGGAGGTGCGTCCAGATGTTGATGGTCTCGTTGTGCCAGGAGAAGACGCTGAGGAAGGCGTGCAGCAGCGGCCACTCGGAGCGGTAGTGGTTGAGGATGAACTCGTTCTCCTTCATGTACTCCGGCAGCTCCTCGTAGCTCACCAGCCGGTACTCCTGCTGCTGCTGCTGCTGCCTCCTCTTCCTCGCCCCTCCCCCTCCCCCTCCTCCTTCCCTCCTCTGCTGCTTGCCCCTCCTCGTCTTCCTGCCTCCTTCCTTCGCCATGGCCGCCCCCGCCGGAGCTTCCTCCTGCAGGTGCCCGCCGCCCACGCTGCTCTCCTGGTCCATGGCCGCTGGCCCCTTTCTTTTCTCTCTCACTAGAACTATCACGGGGAGAGAGAGGGGGACGGAGGGAGCAGAGAGGCTGTGTGTGTGATAAAGGGGGCGAGGCTGTTGCCGGGGTTAAAAAGGACGCTCGCTCGCTCGCTCACACGCGACGCAGGCAGCTCCGCTTGTCCTGAGGAAGCAAGCCAAGAAATCTACTACAGGATACGGCCGGGGGTGGAGTCCAGGATACGGCGTATCGTACGCGACTTCAGTTGTTTCCATGCTCTTTTTATACAATATTGGTCGATTGAAATGGGGACGCATATGTTGCTAGCTCCGGGGATGTGGCGCGTGCGCACATTTCCTCGGGTTGGCGCACCTTCATTGCTACCACAAAGCTGCAGGAAGAAAATGTATAATTGGAAAGACTCTCGCTGCCTTGATGCGCAGTGAAGTTGATGAGGACAAATGCAGGTGGAGCAGGACGGGTAGGACGACGGGCAACCACATCGCTACCGTTGGGTGGGAAAAAGGGAGGACGAAAACGAATGAAAAATGCCGGCATTCAATACTGGCTATAGCTAGTGTTTTAAGAGAGAAAAAGAAGCCTGCGTGTAATGGTGGCCGTGGGAAACTAGCTACCTGCATGTGGGCCCCAGTGGCAGGCTCAGGAATGAAGTGGATGGTGTGCACACTCAAAATAAATTTTTATGTCCAACTGTCATGCAATATTTGGCAAAAGTATGGCATA